CTAATAAAACGATTAAAATTATAATAATTTTATCGTCGTCAATGCCACAGCCACATCAATCAGCTTTAATTAAGCAGCTACAGCACCTTACTTGCCGCTCGTCAATTTAAGCCATTTAATATTGGTCCGAACTATGATTTGTAAGGTTCGATTGCCACACAATAACTAAAATACTTTTTATATCATGCCACAAAATTTTGGCTTAGTTTTGTTAACTAAATAGATCGTTACTTATGAAGGCCGGAGACAAAATGTGTTGTTACCTGTAACGAAGTTAGTGGCATTGACAGTACAGTAGATTGATTGGGAAATCTCATTCAACGTTTTAAGAGATTGTTTGTATACTAGCAATCGTTTGTATACTATTCGCGTTTCTCGTGGTAAATGCAAGAAAATTGAGATATATTACACTGCGCAGAATACTGAAAAACTAAGAAATTTATAATGAAGAAGATGGATTTTATGAAGCAATGTTCGAAAATTTAAATGAACTTTGGAAGACACCGACAGCCGACACGTGACAGTGCAGTAATGAGTAACGTTCCATGTCTTGAATTAAGAGCCTCACCAAAGTTCCCACTCCTATTTACTATAGAAAAATACATTATATCAAACATTTATTATTTAGTTGCGAAGGAATGAAAATCAGTTCAACTCACCATTGGTTACGGTGCTCGAACAATTCAGAGATGATGTTATATCATGAAGGCAACCCCACAACAGTAATAGAGTACACTGCCCACCCGGACATTAGCAGATCAGTCAACTGCAAGGTTGCTGACTTGCTTAGTTGTCTCATTACTCTCGTACTTGGTGTTGGTAAGCCGAAGGGCGGTATTCGTACATCGCGTTCACGATTGCGTTCACGTCATATTTGCTTCTCGAGCAATACGACGGTTGAGTGGGTCGACGAACATGAACGTTGCTCCTGGTCCAGTAGCTTCTGTTCGATCGCGCGTCTGGCTTCCGTATTTTCTTCTTGGCTTCGAACTTTGCGCGGATTTCACTTTTCTGATTGCGCTGCGGAATTCGACTTGAATTCATTATTAATTTTGTGCATCCTGCGGAATTAGTGCCAATTTTTTGTAGCCTAAGCCCCCTGCGGAATTCATTAACAGGTGGACTAATCCCTCTGATGTCGCGTTTTTTCCACTTAGGCATCTGACTATATATATTATATACCTAATACCTTCAAAAGGCTTCAAACTTCAATGGACCACCATTTTAAAATTTAAATTTTTTGGCTCTCATGAAAAGTTGGATTTTTCATCATAAAAATCTATCTCATCTTATGATTTTCAAGCTTTACAAGCGTGAACGAGAAGCAACAGCAATACAGCATTGACTTGAGTCTGCTTGAGAGATAGGTACCTACACGTACACCAATAAGGCAATAACACCATTAAATTTGTAAAGATCTGATCTAGCAATCAGCCAATCACCTGGTCACTTTTTCTCATTTATTATTTTTTTTAATTATGTATAGCTACTATCGAATGGGGTTATTAGGTACAATTTTTGTTAATAATTTCTCACCGTGAAACATTTCATAAAAATAAACAAGTTTGGGTTCTTTTTGAATGTCTTTGCAAGAGCTATTGTAGCCTATGGCGTGTTTAAATAAATTCTATATGCTATTCCTAATGTGCTAAACGCAAGAGAAAAGCATCACGAATTATCCCTGGGAACGGGGAACTTTGGACACATCGTTATCGAAGTGTTTGGAGGGGTCGCTTGCCGAAGACCACCACTGCCCTGGATGTAATGGACCATCATGATTCCTGCCTTCCGGAACGTAGCCTTCAATACTTTAAGCCGTCCGTATCTAGGCCGTGTGTCGAACCAGCCCTCGGTCGAACGGCCACTCGTCGTAGGACGATAAATTTTGGAACAGAACTTTGCTATCTGAAACCTAACCTTAGATACGGTGAACGTAAAATTACGTAATTTAATGATGCCCGGAAGTCATATTCGATCCGCGGCCTGGTGGTGCATGGCAGGTTTTATGGCAGTCCGGAGGTGGACAAAGCCGAGTGATTCACGGCTGATTGGTGAATGTCCGGAGAGATCCAAGGCGTTCGATTCAGGGCTTGTTGGTGCACAAAATTGGTGGTGCACGGCTGTGCTCCCTTTTGGAGGTTGGAGCTAAACATTACCGTTTGGGAGGTTAGGTATTTATATACAAAGTTTCGTTCAAATCTATTCAGTATTTTAGAAGAAATTTTTTGTTCACTGTAAATTTAATCACGTAATACTGTTAAAATCACGAATGACGGTGAAATGGAAAGAAACTCGTGAACGAAGACAAAATCTAAAATATTTTCACGAGCTAAAAATCACCGTTGGAAAGTTAGGATTGTAGTATATCAAAATTTTCGTTCAAACCTGTTCAGTACTTTAGATGAAGTGTCGTGTTCACTGCAAATTTCGGAACGTATCGCCATATAACTCACGAATGAAGGCGAAATTTAAAAAGTGTTCACGAGCTAAGTATCACCGTTAGGTCTTAATGAATAGGTGTACCAAATTTCCTCGAGCTCCGTTCAATACTTTGAGAGATATTCCTTGTTCCCTGAATTTGGAAACCGGCCGCAAGTCCTGCCGTAAATTTGTCCGAGCGTTCTGACCTGATATGAATGTTATAGGTAAATCGAAAAGAAAATTCGATAAAAGTGTTAATTTTACACCTCCCCCGTCGCTGTAATAATTTTAGGTAGTGTTTTCAGTCACCAAAAATGTGTGTACAATAGACTGGAAACAAAAGCAAGAAAAGAAATATTTATGAACTCAATATCAAGTAACGAATTATATAATAATTTAAGGGTGGTCGCACAAAAAATGCTAGGGCTTATAGTTCCATTATAATACTGCAATTGGCAGTTCCGCGCGCCACGTAGGTACCTATTACGAATATTTAGGCTGATCTAAATTTTCACATCGGTTAACTGGCTTAATATTTGATAGACACTGTTGTTATGCGCATATGCATTTATTATTATTTTATTAGGAGAAAGCACACTCTTAATTTAAGCTCTTAAGTTAGCTCGACAACGTTGAAGGAGAAAATATTGTTTCGAAGAGTTGTGGACTATAGCTACTAGTAGCTAGAGGTTCATATATACTGCTAACTCTAAAATGAACCCCCAAATTGTAACGGAGCAGTAATAAAATTCACAAAGTATTTCGTGAGTTTGATCAACCTGTAACTATTGAACACTTACAGGAGCATTTTCAATATTTAACATCGATTACAGAAATCGTATTGCCCGAACATCAGCAATAATAACGTATTTGAGGACTGTCATATCAAATCAGTATCGTAGGCGAAGGAAATCGATTTAAATGAACGTAATTAACTTAATAATAATAATAAGAATAATAATAATAATAATAATAATAATAGCGGTTTCAGCGTTTATTAGGCCGTAGGCCTGTCGCCGATTCTTAACATCGCAGAACATTCGCAGCATTTTGCGGTCTCGAACTCGCAACTCACTGCTACAATTCTGCTGTGCTTAACCGCCCTGCCTCCTTGCCGATTCTGACCAGAAGCTGGCGCATAGAGCTGGGATCGAACCCGCGCCTCTCTGCTCCAATCCTGGTACTCTGAACTTTAACCACTGGGCCACCCAATAGTCAATACGTATTAGAATTTTCAAAAACTATCATTTATAATGAATACTTGATCGTTTCCTTCCATAATATAGTGTCCTTAAAATGGAAAATTCTATAGATAAATTTAATATCGTTTGGTATTCTTCCTTGAAATGTCAAATCTAAAGAGGGACTGCTTTTACGTTCGATTTTCGAATAAACTCGATCAATTACTTATCAAAAATTTCATTTAAGAAGAATAGTAGTTGTCATTAAAATTAAAAGGACATAAACACGATAACATTTTTTAACTTAGAAAATATAATAGCAAATTGAAAAGCGTTAAATCAAGCACAACTATATTATATGAAAACATGGATAGTCATATCAGTGATATCACGTAATTTTGACAGCGCAGATGTTAGTTATTTGGCACTCCAACCAGTCGTGTAGAAAAATTTGAAAATTTCATTGAACCTACGCCCCGCTGACAAGATGCGTGCAAGTGCCACCAATTAAGACGTAGTCCTCCGGACACACGTTACCGTCGCCATGAGAGCCTGGCTGAACTGTGGGCACCGAGTCTTTAGTCTCGAGGTTGTCATGAGTGGGCATTAGCGTCATGTCACTGCGACATCTTCCTGACTCATCACGCATGGACCCGACGCTGCAAGCGCGGATAGGCACCGGAATTATCGCGTAAGCTCCGTGGTTGCTGCAGGTCACTTGAGAAGTGGTTGTGTCCACTGCGAGCCACCCTTTTTTGCACGGACCTGAGTAGGAAATTTTTAGCAGTAAAACCGGTTCAATCTGAAATCTTTTGCGTCTCCCGAACAAGGTATTAATCAATTGATTGCCTAAGGTATCATCCATTACACTTGCAGTGTTACCACATACAGAGAAGATACTACAAGTGCTCTTTTGTGGTTGGATCTAGAAAACTTGGTCTCCTCTGTTTTCATAAAGTCGTCAAATCACCTATCGTTGCTAGGGCGTAGCATTTGAAGGCGGGGAGTGGCCGCATCGATGCGGTTACCACTTCACACGAAGATGTCATCGGAACATTTCCTGGAGTCTCACACAAGTTAGGCCGGCATTTTCCCGAAGCTGACAGGCCGTTATTAGCAACCTAGCAAACAAAATTATAATAAGTAATTAGAACCTAAACTAATCATAGTTCAATTTTGTCAACACCATGCAAAAAATTAGCTAGGTCATCTCATCAAAAATTAGCTAGGTCTTGTGTGTAATGTTCATGTCAAATATGTGATTATTTTTCACATTATCAATATTGTATTGCCCTGTTATGTGTTTTAAATAGAATTCCAACCATCAACATTTGCATTCGTCTGCTTCAAAAAGATACACACACTAGCACGTCTTATTGACACAGGTGCAATACGCTACGAAAAACGCAGAAGTGAAGGTTAACTTCATGCCACATTTCAAGCAAAAATTTCAGCTTACACTGATTAGAAGAAAATAATGGTCTTTAGAATTGTCTAATAATCTAATTTGTCATAAAAATGGAGACTGGCCTTCTTAATTAAAGTTGGGAGAAAATGGAAAAGTTCTGGAAAATAATTTTAAAACTAAAATGCCATATAATTGCGCAATTCTGCTACTGAACTAACCTGGATGGTATATCCAGATTCACAAGGTCCCTTTGAGTGGGGGGTATAGCAGGCATCAGTGGGGCTATGCCAAACTTTGCTCACGGGGCACTCGCACTCGGCTTCACCGAACTCGTTAACGATCAACTGCAACGTCTTCCTGCAGAACTTGGCGTCCGCGCTGACGCCTAGCATCTCGCACCTGTCGTTGATGCTCACCGAGTTCTTCGGGCAGAGCTGAGGGACGCACTTGGCACGGTCTAGGAGGCAAAGGGCATCCGTACAAATTATCCGTTCTGACTTCAGTTCATCTATGTTCGCATTGAAGCATTAAATTATAGGATAATAAGAATGAGTAGCAGTACTTTATACATAGTTATTCTACATTGGTTGTAAATTATAATATCAGGTTAGATAAATGTTAACGAATAAAACTATTCGCCAAGATTGACGCAGAATAAAGCTGACGATTGTGCTTGTTGATGACGATCCAGTGGTCGGCACGACATGGTCCCCTCTCGTGGAGCTGCACGCACCGCCCCTCGTAGGGCACCGTGCCCCACAGCAGCGAACATATATGCAGCAGTGACGTCACGTTGCGTGCCTCTTCCGACATGCAGCGGTCGCGGGGCTGCAGCCGTTCGAGGAGCTGATGGATAAAAAATGGTTTTCTTAAGGGCAATATTGTTGATGAACTCATTTTGATTTTGTGAATAAGATGCTTGAAGACGTCACGTATACAAAATGGTGAGCCAGAAACGATGAACCGAAACACGATCTAATGAACTATGATTGAATGTAATGATCTAATGAACATTAAACCAACATAATGAGCTTTAAGGCAAAATTCTCACAAACAATGCAAACTATTCAATATTATTAGCATTAACACGATGCCTTACAACACATTTCCTGCGATAAACATCCGGGGGCTTCCCGTCCTAGCTGCTGCGACCTCGAATTATTTATTATTCCCAAGCTAATCTCGGGGCTAATCTTTGCATCCTTTGTAAGCTCAATGGCAAGTGTTATTCCAATAGTAATAATACACCAAGGTCTCCACATCAGGGCAGTAAACCGCAAAACATGTTGATTGTGGATTAGCAACGAAGCAATACTTCATGCTAATTACAACATTTTAACTCACATAAACCTGATGGGCGATCGCAGACCCCTTTTAAAACCTCATTTAACAAAGACTCCCGTTGAACTCCTGTTTGGCTTCTTGGAAAAATATACATTTATTTTCTCTGAGACCACTTAATTTTCATCAACGTTTAAACAAACTTTGTTTTAATGTTTGAATACGGCCCTTATTTTGTTTAAAGTTATGATTACATCATAAAATCTTCGGATCTAGGTAAACCCTCGATGCTGAAGTAGCACCCATAAGCCCTCGAAGAGCTCTACTATTTTCCTGTTGACAAGATCCAAACAAATTAACCATCATACCAATGCCGCCACACTAAATAAATAATCCTTTATATATTTGGAAAAGTTTGTTGGAGCCTGACGCTTTGATTGCAAAGGAGCTATTCGAGGGCATATTAGTACCTACAACTTATCATGGCAGGATATTACCTAGACCGGATATTTTATTTTTAACAGTTGAATAGTAAGGCCTTTTGAACGTTCGAAATTTGGTATAAATTTTATTCAAAGAAAAAACAATCGATTAAACCTTCGATAAAAATGGCAGTTGAATTAAGGATGGAAGTTACATGCGGGGTGGAAATATCTCTCATTAATATACAAAGAATAGTTTCAAATTTTTTCACTACTCAACAATTATAAATAACTATGTCCGTTGATAATTGTATTGTTCGCCTCTGAAAAGCCTGAAAAATTAAAAAAAATCCCACCTTTTGGTTCCGCATGAGTTGTATGTATTGGTCGGGCATAATGATGTCGGCTTGGCAGTGAGTAATAGCTAGTAACAGCACCAGCGCAATAAAAACCGTTGACATTCTCGGCCTCATTTCAGTCGCTGTGCAATATAATAATCGAATAATTAATTAATAATTTAATCAAATTATCCAGAAATTGTTGTTCAATCTTTTAGATTAGTTTTTAATTTTGAACAAATTAATAATAATGGAGTCGCTGAGAGAAAAGACTGATTTTCTTGAGAAACTTTTCAAGTGGCGAAATTGGAATCGAAAGTTGTATTTCAATGGGCCACTCAGTGAGACACATCAGGCCTACTTTCCAGCGCCGACATCGCTATGCTATAATAGATGTTTCAAAGTATTACTTGTTTAGAGAGCCTCAATGGGAAGATAATTACAAACTGATAAGATAATTACAAACTGATCTGAGCGATCAGTAAATACTTTAAAGCAATTTGCCTCAATGAAACTTCTAGAGGCTAATTGAACGAAAACAGAATGCGCCAATAAGCGGTTTAAACCAATCACGCGCGGAGCTGTTTATGTACGAGTCTAGTGAGTGGCAGGTCAGTGACACAGATGCGTCCACACCTGCATGCGGTTCCTTCACAACTGATCCTTCATGCTTGGTTTGATCGGGCTCCCATCCGGGGTGCGCAGTGCAGCAAGCCTGATCAGCACACGCCTGCTGGATCCGTAAGAATTATGTACGGGCTAAACCGTTCCGTAAAGCTGTGCTTTATTAACCGCGAACGGTCCTGCCGACAAGAAATTGCTAAATTCTCCCTTCCATGAAAATACGAAGAATGAAAATTTCCTCAAGGACATAATAAGAAGATATCTTTTAAATTAATGGGCCAAACTTCTCTCATTGTTTGTGAAGATCAAACGCATTGGTACCTGAAAAACGACCGAATTTCAATTGATTAAGAATGGATTTATGTCGATCAGGGATTCAAACGCAGTTCGTAAGCCGTATTCGCCCCGCAGCGACAGTTAAGCATAAAAATGAGAGATTATGAGTCCGCTCATCAGACGTGGAATCCGCATGGAATCTGAATCCCGCACTTCGCGGACAGCACTGTTGCGGTCCGATTTTCTGACTGTCGTTCTCGCTCTTCTTCTATCACTCCGACGCATTACCCGAAGCTGAAATTGAACATGAGCCTTGGTCGGCTCACTCTCGTTTGAGCCGCCTGCCTGGACGGGCGTGGCAGGACGCAGTAATTGGTCGGTTATCTGGCAAGGAAATACCTTGGATTTACCTCCGACGCTGCTGTCAACCATTTATTTAAACTAAATTCATATATTTCAATTACCTCTTTTGTCGGCCATGGACAGGTGCGGCTGCAGGCAAGTGGAGCTAGAGAACCAGTCTCGCAGACGGTAGCGCTTCCGGCGCTGTACGTCGCACGGACTTGTCGTTTATTTTAACCTCTGTCTTCCCACTCGGTGAACAGTGTTGAAGGAAGCTGCAACTTGTTGGCAACGTTGGATAGGAGTCCCGGCGTAATCTCGGCAAGCACTGCGCTCCTCCGCTAGATTCCCACACTTTGAATTGATTTGACCTAGTCTATCACCGATAATCGATAAACTGTGACTTCCTCTCGGCGATAACTCCGGTGATGTACGGATGGGCCCAGCTAAATTTACTAATCTTTAATGTTCAACTATACATTTCCCGTCTGATAGCTACCTAGGATTACTGATATACTTCTCCTGGATTCGCTTGTTCATTTATATAGTTTGTTCATTTAATAATGCGCGTGCATTTTATCATTCGTACCCTCTTACAAATAGAATTTTTGCTGACTGTGCTAATTTAGTTACCATGCTTTCTCACTATTCCGTTAGGGTAGCCTATATGTGTTGCCCGCTCTCCCGCAGCAGCACGATTCTGTGACACGCATGAAGCCCGCGCACGTCACGAGCATGAAGATCATGACGCTCACGCTCGTCACGAGCATGAAGATCATGACGCTCACGCTCGTCACGAGCATGAAGATCATGACGCTCAATGATCATGAAGCTCACGCTCGTCACGATCATTCTGATCATGAAGCTCACGCTGTCAGGTGAGAATTGCTCACGGGCTGATGACGTCAGTCAGGCTTCGTTTACAATGTTGCGTGTCACGCCAAGACCTTCAGTCTTGGACGGAAAACGATACCTGTTAATGCTCTTACTCCAATTTGCATTGCCATCTGTTTAACCTCTCAAAGAAGTACTCTATTGATCCTAACTCTGTGCCTCATTATCCATTTTGATTTATGTTAAGATACTAACGAACTAATCCTCAGCTCAATTAGAATTACATAGGTCATAGACCATTCTGCATTTATATAATTTAATTTTGTGAATGAAGCCACAGCCCGACAGTTATTCGTGAGCCTTATGCTTCTGAAATCCGTGCTCGTAATGAGCAAAATGATTATGATGCCGGAGCTTGTCATATGGATGATCATTATGCAGCTGATGCTCATCAGTAGCATGATGATTATGGAGCTCGCACTCTTCACTAATCTGATAATTATGAGACCTATGCTTGTCATTCTTATAAATGTCTACCAATAGCAGAAGTTATCTCGTGAGTTTAGCTGGTCCAACCTGACAACCTGATCCCTACTGTAAGGGATTGGTATCTAATAACATAACATAACATAGTGATGTCGGCGCTGAAGAGTAGGCCTGATGTTGCCTGTCGCCGTTTGTCGTACTTTTCGTGACTTGTTCACAGAAGATCCAAAATCGTGTCATTTGACCGGATCTTTTCATGACTGACGATAGTTTGAAATAGCTAATGGACTTCCACCGGGTTCGATATGGGGCTAGGCATTTCAAGTCTGAACATATATTTTTCCTTAGCTTTAAATATTCTGTTCTTGAACGCGTTTATTATACTCGGAATGCCTACGATGTAATCGGGAGGCTGTTCCACATGTCGGTGATTCGAAGCGAGAAGAAATGTTGTCGCGTGGATAAGTTGCAGCGATGTTTTTTTAGTTTATAGCCATGGCCTCTGGTGTTGGTTCTTGTTTCAAATTCTAGTAATCCTTCGGGGACTTTGTATAAACCATGAGTATACTTGTATTCCTCAATGAGGTCCCCACGTAGACGTCTATAACTGAGGCTTGGAGGCGTCATAATCTTTCTTCATAGGACTTGCCCTTCAAGCCCGGAATTATCCTTGTTGCACGTCTTTGAACATTCTCTTTAAATTTCTGTCCTTTTCAAATCTCGGTGACCACACAACGTTTCCAAACTCTAGACTCGGGCGTACGACGGCAACAAACAACTGCTTCATCGTTTCTGCAACTAGGAACTCGTATGAGCGTCTGATTAGTCCAAGAAGTTTGTTGGATGTGTTAGCTTGCGTTTCAACATGCTTAGAAAATTTCAGCTCCTTTTCGACATAAACTCCGAGATCTTTTTCCACACTAGACTTTTCAATAAAAAAATAGCAGAAGATTTCTTATGAAATCGGTGTTCGTAATGAGCAAAATGATATGATACCGGAGCTTGTCATGAGGATGATCATTATACCGCCTCATGTATATGTTCCTCGACTCACGTTCTTCGCATTATCAAGAATTCAAAATGAAAATTGAATCAGCGAAACCTCTGAACGTTATTCTGACTAAATAGGCTTTAAATAATATCAGATACTCATACTCCAAATGATAATTTCTATAATAGTTTGTCACTAAATTATACCTTAGGTTCAGGTGGAAAGCCGTGATGACGGCACTGAGCGGGAAACCGCTCTATAGAGAGCCATCTCTGCGAGTCTGATCAAAAACCGTTCCTAGTTCTTCCTCGTATAGTCTACGAGGGGACGTGGGTCAGCTGAGTGGTATGCTCCGATTTTTTTCTACGTTCCCTCCAATGGACAAATTGGGGTAGGGTGGCCCAGAGGTAACAAATGTACCATTGGTTGGAGCAGCGAGCTATGGGTTCGATCCCAGCTTACTGTGGCCGTTCTGGTCAAATCGACGAGGATGCCGGGCAGTTTAACAACGCAAAATTGGACCAGTGAGTTGTGTAATAAAGACCCGCAACAAGCTGTGAATGTTCGTAATAGGCGACAGGTGTCGTCTCCATATTCGGCGACACCGCTTTACTATTCTAGACGCTGTATTTGATAATTTTAGTGAACAGAATAACAAAAAGTAATGCGTAACTTGTGGTCAGCGTGTTCAAGCAGTATAACTATAATTTCAATATAAGGTGTCTTCATGAATCGACAGCGTCAACATCTGTATTTCTGACTTATCATCAGACCACGTGACCCCTCGTTGATTGTTGCCCTTCAAACCTGAGAAAAGCTGGTTTCGGGGCAATTTGCAACTCAGGGTAATGCCAGCATTATCTCCCCTACATATATGAATCAATAAGCAATTTCTGCTAAAAATTAAAGGAATTGTAATTCTATATGGTTACTATTATATACTCCTTACTCATACGAAAGTAAGAAAAAATTCTAAAGGTCTATATAGCATGAACCCTTCATAAGTACAAATAATGAGTACTTCGATAACTCTAAGCTATATTCTCTGATGAAATTCAATCATTGTAAAACTTACTATCGATCAAATTTGCCCGTTAGGTTATTTTATGTAATTAAACTATTTCATACATTCTCTCCCTAACTTTAGCGTAGACTTTTACCCCATACAGGGTACTTGTCGTCAGTACAGGGAGTCCGAGCGACGTGGCAGAAGCTGCCGCCCTCTATCCGCCATTTGCCTGGGACACATGCAATTGGCATTTTTAGGAATCTATCTAGTTTTGATGAAAATAATGAGGTTATTTAATTTTTGTACTTTGAAATATTTGTAAGTCCATTTTTCTTCTAAGGAAGCGTCTATATAGGTTATTGGTGACGGCTTCATCAACTGGTTATTTTGAGTAGTGGCCACCTGCCGTTGTGGCGAAATATTCCGTTCGATGTACCAAATGAATCAATTTACTTTCAGCAGAGAGCATTCAAAATTATTGTTTTGTATAATTAGGACTAGATATTTATTCCATCGTTTATATATCTTGTCCATTCATTTTTTTTGCGTTGTCATTCAAGTGATTAGGCTATGAGTGCTTAGAATTTAGCTAGATTATTGATGACGATGTTAGAGTGTTAGTATAATATTTCAGTGAATTTATTATCCACCTGCACTACGGTCAACGTCCAGTGGCTCAATACATCAGCTGAAATATCGGGCTTGGTTTGCTTAAAAAAAACTAAAATGCCTGCAATTCAGGAGTGGAATTAGTGCAAACAATGCTGTCAAGCATAGTGACAAACAGGATGGAATTCTAAAATTTACAGTTCATATATTATTTTCGCTACACCTAGACCAGTTTTTCGATACAACATTATTTGAGGCAAAAAAATTAACTTCTTATAGGCTTAAACACGTATAGGTAAAGGTATAAAAAGTTTCTAAAAAGTAATCACTTAACTTGGAAATGTTGCGTGTCTGCAGGGCAGCTTGCACTCAACAATTAAAATTATAAAAAGTACTAGTTCGTTAAAGATTTGACTCTTAATGTGACAGCAAAGAACTTTTCCATGATGCACACAATAAACACGCAATTCATGG